CTTATACTATTATTATAGCCTAATTATTATCTGTACGTTTGTATGTTTAATTGAGTATTCTGTTAAGCATATGTAAAGTGAAATAACATGGATGACCTAAACTTATACCAATTGGGTCGGACTTAAATGTTACGTTGTAATTGAGCCAATAAATGTATTATCTATATATTCTTTCTCTTCGTAGTCCGTGCTGCTGGCCTTTCACGAAATTTTCATTTTGTCCTAACCTAATATTATTTTGTAATAAAATGTATTTTATCTAAGAAAATTCTCGGGATTAATTCGTTTGACGTCACCTTCACCTCCTACATGTCGCCAGAACGACGTTATGAAAATTTATGAACATCTAGCTGATTTTCACATTAATGTTTTGTAATGATGAGTACAATCAAATGGTCAAAGTGGCCTATAAAAATATTGGGATGTTAGGCGTGACCTCATTTCCTAAAATGTTGTCAGAACAACGCTATAAAAATTTATGAACATCCAACCGATTTTCACGTTAATTGTCATAGTGGCCTACAAAAATATTGGGGCGTTTCTTTAGACCTATGCCTTTTGTAGAATACCTATTTATCTTGTTCTGGTGTTCTGAAATCTAAATTAAATTGTGAAAATATAACATAAAATATTATTTTATTAATTCATGAAAAATAGTTATAAATCAATTAAAACTGATCAGAACAGATCAGCAGTTGAAAAAATCAAATGTTGTGGAGTCTGCCATAGGTCTTTCGACATCTAAATCCACTCCTTTCAGTCCATGTAGCGCTCAACTCTTCATCGTGGTTCATTTAAACTTTCGAAAGTTATCAGGGTCGGTCATTCCGGTCGGTTTAGGGGACGAAAGACCGAAATTGCAGTTTGAGTGAAAACGTGCCCTGAGGGCTTTCTGAAAAAAAAAAACTTTGTCATTCGGCTAAGCCCCTACTTTAGGGGGCTTAAACGCTCACTAGATGTAGGTCAGATACCGAAAGGGAACCGCCAACACTGTTTCTTGAACGTCTATTAAATAATTTTCGATTCTAGATTTTCTGCAGTATTTATTATTTTTCTGTAAAACTTCTAGATAATTATTTCTACGTTGCATTCCCTACCAAGAACAATTATTTGTGCTAAGTATGCTTTCATTTCTTTATTATTATTTCTTTTTTTTAACTAAAAAAATTTGTTTGCCTCTGTAAAGTATTTCGTTTAGTTATTAGATAAAAAACCAGGTTCTCTGAGCCTTTTAGTTGACAGAATGACTAATTCCAATTTCAACATTTTTGAGTAATGACATTTTGGTAATATTTCTAGTTGGAAAAGTTGTTATTTTTTCTAGCAAGATTTAGATTGTATAATGCTTGCAAATTCTTGCAAATGCTTGCCGTTACTCTCATAATAATCGAATCTTGACCCCATCGAAAACGTTTGGATACTTATGAAGTTAAAAATCAGGGAATTCTATCCAACATAAGAAAAAATGTACTTGTATATCTACTGAAACATCTTGGTCGATTTTTAGGTTAGTTGACATTTAGGAAAATTTAAACTTGGTGTTGTTGTCGAGTGCTTTCATCTCTGAACGAAACTCAAGTCTCTTCGGGGTGTTAACATCCATCGATACATGGGACGAAATCTAATGCAAAGAACAGTAATGTGTAGTGAAAGACATTTGACTACTGCGCGAAGTCTAACTATTAATAGATATGAATTTCCTTAACAACCTACCGAAGTATTTTAACGAGATATTCAAAGCTCTTAAGATAGAGTTCCCCAGACTTGTGTAATATACTCTGGTTTTTAAAATAAAAATATATTTTTTATTTAACCTGTTTTTTTTATTTTTAAGAATTGGCATTCTATAACATAGTCAATAGACATAATCGGAATCTTAATAATGATATAAAATAAAAATAAAACTTATAATATAATAATTACCAGTATCATTATTTTGAGCCCAAGTTGTTTCAAAATACTCACAGAATACTTTCCAAATAATTTGAGCTGTTTACTCAAAAAATCTTTACATAAGATTTACCAGATTAGTTAAAATTTAAATTTTTGCGTTGATTTATTAGTATTTTGAGCTCAAATTAGTTTTAAAAACCTCACGACATCTCAGTGAATAGTTTGAGCCGTCAAACTAAAAAATTGGTCCAGCCGCGTACTCTAAAAAAATCGTTGCATAAATTTTATCGGACATCCCAAAAACATGTACCTTCCACGTATGCGGGTAAATATACCAGTATCTGAGCTCAATTATTTTTTAAACTGATTCTTCGAATCTTTGTCAATTTCGAAGGTAATGCAACGTAGAAATTACTATGTAGAAGTTTTACAGAAAAATAATAAATATTGCAGAACATTTAGAATCAAAAATTATTTAATGTAGGTCTCACTAGATGTAAGTCAGATACTGAAAGGGAAGTAACAGCTAACACTGTTTCTTGAACGTTTATTAAATAATTTTCGATTCTAGATTGTCTGCAATATTTATTATTTTTCTGTAGAACTTCTATATAGTTCTTTCTACGTTGCATTCCCTTCGAAAAACAATGATTTCTTTCTTATTATTTTTTTTAACTCAAATATTTTATTTGCTCCTGTAAAGTATTTCGTCTAGTTATAAGATAAAAAATCTGGTTCCCGCAATACACAACTTTCGTACCGCTCTACTTTGAATAGAAATGTACCAATATCTGTGCTAAATTATTTTTGAAACTGATTCTTCGAATCTTTGTAAATTTATAAAATTTACTTTTCACCAGGATAAATTATGCTAAATAGGAGTTGAAGTTAAAAAGTTATGTTATAACTGACGCAGCAGAAGGTATTATTGTTTTATTACGAAGATAATTATAGAACATTTAGAAATCATATTAAGAGACTCGAAGCCAATAAGAGAGATCGGGAAAACTTATTCCGATAGAATAACTTACTTCTTTGAGGAAGTAAAGTGTTGAAAGTCCCAGAGTGTATTTTGTGTTTCCAATTACGTCATTACTATAATGTCAACGAGACAAAAGCTTGAATAACGTCATGGCACGCTTGTCCTTTTATAAATAAGGAAGGTGGTGCGATACCTTTGACATTTCCACTTAGACCTCAACAGCGAAATGACTCTTCTTGCAAAGGTCAGTGCGTCAATGCGGCAGCGGTTGTTTAAGTATTGAAAAGAAAATCGTTTCAATTCAACCATTATTTGTAATTAATCGGGACATACTGGATCCGACATTTTTTTATGGTATCTCATATGCACGTTGTACCCTCCTGACGAGTATATGCTTTCCCCGATTTTCTTTGCAAATGAATTTAGGATTTTGACATGATGGAGGTATTTACAGAGCGTTTATAGTGTAACTTATATTAGAGTTTTTGTTAGAATTTATTTAATAGTAATAACCAGAGGTGCCCATCCCCCCTAACGGCGATGGTGCAAGATCCTTCCCCCTCTCCTTTCCAAGATTTCTCTCCTCTTCTTAATAACTGTGCAAACGAAAGTAACATTTAAAAGATCGTAGGTCATGTACAATTACACTTGTAGCGATCTGTTCCCTGTCTTTCTCTTGCTCTCAGTCTGCAACTTTTCATTCCAAAAATTCATGATCCTGCCGAAAGTGTCACCCTCAAAAATTTAATACCCCGTCAAAATGTGACTCCCTCAAAAATGTTGATGGCGCTACTTGCGACATGAAATCCCGTTCTGTGCATCTCTGGTAATAACAATTTGGTCTGATCAGATGGCAATATCTATAGATCGGTGTCAATAACAATATATATAGGTTTACAAAAGATGATATCTGATCAGGATTTTTTTTACCATTGACATTCTCTTTTATATTTTTGCAACTTTATTTGCAGAGTAGCTTTTGGTGTCCGTGTACCATATTCATCTTTATAATTATAATACATTAATAATTAGTTAATGACATTAACAATTCATGTATTACGTAATTTTTAATTGTCATGCAATTATTATCACATCATGCCATACATTTTTATATTTTTGTCTATTTAAAAACATAAAAGATTAGAACTGCGGATTCTGAAAAATGGTGCACGGACACCAAAAGCTGATCTGCAAATAAAGTTCACCGAGTTTTATCAAAATCGTTAGAGCCGTTTTTGAGACAATTGTAAAAATGTATTTCACCGTTGATTTTAAGGAAAAAGTTTTTGTAACATCTAAGGTATATCTTAGGTACCTATCTTAAATACGTAATATCAGTTTCGTACGACTTTTCTTCTTTGAGCTAGACTGTTCGCTTACATACACTCACACATATAGACCACTTTTCGGAACTTGGTTATTTAAACTCAGGGAACTAAAAACGTGTATTTTAGTTGAAAACTCAGATTCGAAAATTTTAACGATAGCAATACTTTCCCATACTATATGTATTACATATATACTTAAGTGAAAGTAAAATTATTTCATTTTTTTTTTTTTTTTTGTGTGTGTGTGTGTGTGTGTGTCCATTAATTCTGACTTCAGCTGATAACTGAACTCAATCATGGATGAAGTTGTTAGATTCTATTATAACTAAACTAAGCAATAAGTTTACATAGCGTTATACAATAACATACATATTTATGCGTTCCCCCATTTATTTATTTAGAATATTACCCGTCATTCAGTGTCTGCATGACATTCATGAATGGATATCCTAGTAGCTATAATTAGAAGATTTATAAATTGTAATTGCTTGTTTAAGGAGCCGACGCTAGCGTACGTAATGAGCGGTTTGATGTTTCCTTTGTTAAGGGTTAATTTGTCTCCTTCTGCTGTGACCAATCTCCGCTGGATTAGGACCATGTCCTCTTCATCTCTCTAAGCGCTTCCCTCATCTTGTTAGCTCCAACTGGCTCATCTTCATCGCTTTTCGTTTTATTAAATTAACACTTCGCATTTTGATGATTATATATTATATGTCAAATATTCGGCAAGGTTTACGTATTAGATTTTGTCTGTTTATCCTCATACTAGATTATTATCCCCAAAGACTGACAGGAAGATGAATGTGAATGGTAAGATTCGATTTTATTAGGAAAGACGTTTTCAATGTTCTTATTAATAATATTTTTGTATGTTTACTTTTAAATTTGTCAATCAAGTATAAATAAAAAAAAAAAGAGCAAGAAATCTGGTATAGTGGTGAAGATATTAACTGACTTGAGTCCAGGGGTGCCCAGAAGGGAGTTTTATAGTTGCGCCATCCAAATTTTTGAGGCAGGAATATTTTGGCGGGTTTTTGAATTTTAGGGAGGCAAATTTCCACGGGGTTATGAATTTTCGGACTAAGATACAAGGAGAAGAATATGGAACATACCGCACCAAGTGTAATTGTGTATGATATATTAAACGATCTACGACTGTTCTGATTCTATCTTGGCTTGCTCTGTTTTTAAGAAAAGGTAAATAATAAAATATCTTGGGAAGAAAGGAGGGACAGAGTTCATGCGCCATCGATCTTGGGGAGAAGGATGGGCACCCCTGCTTGAGTTAAAAGAGAAATACTATAGTTTTATTTTAATGCAGGGATCTCCAAAATAAGACCCGCCGGCAGGATCTGTTCCGCCTGCACCTTCAATCCGACCCGAGAATGCTTCTTTGATTAAATATAACTTTTTTTTTAAATATTAAATTAATTAAAAAATCTAGTAAATAACCGGAACACTAGATGACTACGATATTTGTTACATGAGTCGTTTCTATTGGAAAGCTCATATTACAACTGAAATGTAATTTTCAGAACAAACTTTTTTTTTTCATTAAGGTCTTGAGGATCTCAATGCGGTCCGCGGGGTTTAGTTGAGGCCACAAAGTGGGCCGCGGGCCAGCTCGGAGTTAATAATATTGGTTTAAAAATTTCGATTTGGTTTCGAGGTGCCTGATTAACCCATTTACCAAAATTAATTTTCTTTTTTTAATTTAATAATAATATAGCTAATTAGTAGATAAAACTGAATTTAATCCTACGATAAGTAGCTATGAGGTACTTAAATTAGTTACGTAATATGTAATTACCTTAGAGACCGCTCCCTTGAAATTTCTTTTTCACTTCCTTATTGCAGGTTTTTTTTTTAGTTATTTCTGTCCTAGTACGTATAAGTTAGCAGATATCAGGCGTTGTTTTCCTCCCTAATAAATTTTATGAGTTATCATTGTTTCAAAGCTGTTATTACATAATGTTAAAATTAAATCTTTCTTGTTATCAACGAGACATTCGTTATTTTATGGCTTATTCTAGGAGCATTTTACTGAATGACATATCTTTTTCTTAGAACTGTTTAATTTCGGTATTTTATATTTAAACTGTTGTTAGTTCAGGTTATGCCAATTAATTCGATTTTAAATCAAAATTGATTTATGTTTGTGGAAGATACATGTTTATTATAGCTATCATAATTTTTTTATGTAAATAGCGAATGCGTATTATGCGAATAAATATCTTCGACTAGAAGATAAATACTTGAATATATATTGAACTGTTTTGTAAGCAAAATTAAATTTATATATGAGGCAAAACTATTAGTTTAATTAATGGTAAAGTTAAAAAAATACTTTACTTTTTAATATAATCTTAAGTTGCGGAACTGATTACAGACCTTCCGGGCTAATAATATGAAAAGAACAATTTTACTAATATAAAGAAGAAACGACAGAACAGGAAAAGAACAGGAACGGATAAAAATTGGATCCATTAATTTATTCATCATCATCATCATCATAATCATTTTCCTCTTTACCGCCTATGCAGTGTGTGGTTGCTTCTTGTAGAGCTTGGACCTGGTGGACCTTTCCAGTACCAGCTCTCGTCTCCTCTTCCATTGTAAACTTCACTTCTGTAATGAATCTCGCACGGCTTCTTCCCAGGAGATTCTGGGTCTTCCTCTCGGTCTTCCTTGCGAATCTATTCCGATCCTTACGGAGAAGGTGTCCAAACCATCTCAACTCATGTTCTTCTATTATGGTTTCGATTGCTTTGGCGTCGAGATTGGCACGGATTGTAGTATTGCGAATTCTGTCTCGTCTAGTCTTTTCCTTCACTTTTCGCAGGTATCGCATCTCTAGAGATCTGGCTCCTTTATACTTTACTTTTTAATATAGTCCTAAGTTAGGGAACTGATTACAGACCTTCCGGGCTAATAATATAAATAAAACAATTTTACTAATATAAAGAAGACAGGATAGAACAGGTACGGATAAAAATTGGATGCATTAATTGATTTAAGATTTAAGTTATCGATATAAAAATAAAAGGGGCCGAAATATCAACATACATTAAAAAGTAAATTGTAAAATTTGTAATTGTATACTTTTTGAGTTATGAGCAAATAAAATTTTCTATTTTTTGTAACTTTTTTTCCCCTCATTTTTCTGGTGGGAGGGGGGTTTGTTTATTTTTCTCACCTGAAGAGAAGATAATCTTCCAGAATGCAATACTTCAAATATAAACATTCGTCTCTTACTCACAACGATCTGAAACTTCTAATGCCCTTTCAGTAAAATTTTAGAAAATTTGCTTCATGACAAAAATCAATTCATTTTATAGAAATAAATAAGTCTGTCATCACATATGTAATAACCACTCCGTAAGTGTCAGACTTATTTATATTTATAAAATAAATTGATTTTTGTCATTTAGTAATTTTTTTTCAAATATGGTATCAAATCAAGAGTAATCATTAAGCGTTGAATTTTGTTTCTACACACCCATTTATAACCCAGCGCAATGTAACATTTTTTAATATGTTTTGTGAGTTTTAATGTTTCTTGACAGAAATATTCAACTTTTTTATTATTTAGATTCACTGGCGAATACTTGGGGGGAGGAAATTTTGTGGAGAAAATTAAAAATTCCAAAATGTAAATTTTTATCATTGGTCCATATTTGTTTTTGTGAGTGATCTGAGGCAAATGAACAATCGAAATATCTAATATTTTTAAATTATATCACTTATAGTTCAGCTGCTAACCGTATATAAGGTTTTAAAAAAAAAAAAAAAAAAAAAAAAAGTGAATCCCTTATTGTTCCTGCAAAAACATATTATCTTTTAAAAAGCCTTAATGAAACGTTATTTCACTTCTCGCCATTGTCATTTGAAGATATCGAGGACTTGCTGGGAGGCACTGGTAGGTATCGATCGAGGGCATACCCCTTACCTTTACGTATCCTCTACAACGATAATAGCAACTGTCGTCTTCTTCCACATCTGTTTCCTTATATTGTATCATTCCTGGTTGAGGAACTCTTCGGGTTAGGAACTGCACTCATCATCACCTACGACGTCCTTCTGCAGAGTAGGAGATGCCTGCGGACGGACTCGCCGCCTCCCTCGCCCCACTACCCCCGACCGCGAGGGTGGGGGAGTGGTGGGGCACCAGAACACCCTGGACGAGGAATAGGAGTTCCGGATCCTATAGGAGCTACCTTCTTCACATCGATCCCCCCCCCCCCTCATCTGACACTACAAAAAAAAATTAACTTAACCATACCTCTTGGATAGCATGCTCTCCTAATCAACGAGTTTTTTATGGTTGCAAGTAGTAAACGCGAAAGAACTTTCAATTTTATATATTGAAAGAAGTTTAAGACGAATAAAAGAAGAATTATTCTTTACGAGAATATAGCATATTAATCTTAATCTTGAGTTAAGGCTGCAAAGAGGAGTACTTTATTTTGGAACTTTTTATTCTCAGGTTTATGATCAACAATAACTAACAAAATTAATTTTTTTAAACATTATTTTTCTTTAAAACCATCAATGTTTGAAGACTGATGTGTTGGTAACATGTTTTAACTAAAAATATGAAAAAAAATACTAATAGAAAATAATAGCAAGTGTTTTAACTTTTTATGTTTTTATTTTTGAATTTTTTTGTCTTTTATTCATTTTGTGGTTAACATGGTATTCTCTGTCTTCAAAGTGATAGTTAATTTAAAAAAAAATAAATTACTAGGTGACAGATTAGTGTGCCCATGTTCTCAGGGGTACCCATACCCTCCTAAGGTCTAAGTCGCATGAATTTATTTAATAAAATTATATAAGCGAGTATTGTTAAAAATAAAATAGAACTATTTTCGATAAAGTGGAGTAAAGCCTAATAACGTAAGTTTATAAACTCAGAATTGAGCTCACGAAAATAGCAGCTCGGAATAAATTATTATCTACTACATTTACTTGGCTCATTTTGTCAACAGATTGTAATATATGGAATGTTGATAACGTTGGAATTTTCCTTTGGAAATTTCCTCAAGAAAATATTTTCTTTTTATAAAATGATCAAATCACTGTTCGGTTAATCTAAATTAAATATCAAGGATTATGTTTTAAATTTTATTTTGAAATTAACTAGATTAAAAAAAATAATCGAATATTAATAACCAAAAGATATTCCGCCATTATATGTTTAAAAAATCCCTTTAATTTATTCTGTAAAATTTGAGGTATTTTAGAAAAAAAAAAAAAAAAAAAGCTTCACAAATATCATGCGTATACCCCAAAAATTGAAAAATGAGTGCCAACATTTTGTCCTAGGAATAGTGTTGTTTTTGTTAATTGGCAAATGCTCATAAATTGATCCTGTCTTAGTGATAAGCAATGTATTAGTATTTAGTTGTTATTGAAAACTATTACTTCAATAATGTCAACTCACTTCCCCTTCTTTTGAAGATTTGCCGTTTTCAGACTATAGGCGTGTCAAATAATACATTTAGTGATCTGAAAGCGGAAGTTTTTTTTTTTTGAGAATAGTGGATAGAATTTGATATTCACTTAATCATCTGTTAACGAACCTCCCACTTCCTTCAACGCTTGAACTAAATCGAACGTGCGGTTTTAGAGATATAGGCCTATGAAGGAAAACACATTTGCGCATATATCAGAGAAAGTAGTGGACAGAGAATTCAAGAAAATTGACACTACCTCATTTTTTCACCAATACCTATATTTTATTCAACTTTAGGCCAAATCGAATGAGCCATTTCTGAAATATTGGCATCTATGAAAATTCATTTACATATGCGCAAGCGGAAGTGGTGCATGGAATTTGATAAAATTGATATGGGACCACATAGACACCATCCCGCACAATCCCTGAAAATTTCGTGAAAATCGGATGTAAGGTAGAAGGTGAAATGCCTGTCTCATCAATTTGACTACAGACAGACAGACGCCGAACCAAATTTGATCTTTGATGTCTGAAACTTAAAACGACACGTATATGACGAGAAATTATGAAAGTATAATAAGTAGATTAACAGTTATGTAAATGTAAATTATTGTTGTAATTGTAAAAAAAAAAAAATAAATTCTAATCTAATAATAATAAAATTTCCGAACTTGAAAATGGCCCAAGCGCTGACCGAAACGTGAATACGATAATATAAAAGAAATGAAATATTGGAGGAACGTGGCCTTTAATTTTTGAAAATGAAAATCTCAAGGATACCAAAGTAGAAAAATGAACTCAATAAAAATTATTATATAACTTTATTCATGTGTTAAACCAAAATGTTTACGAATTAAAATAACCTGTATTTCAGCTAATAATGATCCGAATTATGTATATATATATATATATATATTTTTTTATTTTTTTTTATTTTTTTTTTTTAAAAGGAAGGAGATGGTCCGGGTTGGCGGTCATAAATAGGCTGAATAGTGGCAAAACTATTTTATTAAAAGCCAAAATAGCTTTCAATAAAAGCTATTTTGCTACTATTTTAATAAAAGCTTTGGGTGTTTAATAAAATTGTTTTGCCACTATTCAGCCTATTTATGACGGCCACCCCGGACCAAATCCTTCCTTTATAATGCAAAGGTCGACTATTAAATATTCAATATTTTTTTTAAAGCAAATTTAGTAATCATTTAAATAATCACAAGTACAATCGATACTGTATACTTTTTGAATTATCCGCAAATAGTTTCTTTTTTTTTTTCATAACTATCCCCCCTTTAATTTCAGAAGTATTTGATTATAGTTTTTCTACCTGAAGGAAAAGAAATCTTCAAAATGAGTGCTCAATCATTGGATTTGATGAATAATTAATGAAGATAATGGCGTAAAGAAAAAAAAAACTTTTGAAAAATAATATATAAAAATTATTTTTACGCTTTTTATTTCTAACAAGTTGCGGGCGCCCCCTTCATTTTGGCGCCCCAGGTAATTTGTGGGGTTGCCCGTCCCTAGGGACAGGATTTATCACTATTTTTGATCGTTAAATTTTTCGATTTTTCTCTCTCGATATTTACAACCCTGATTAGTGATAATAGTTCAACAAATATGGCGTATGGCGTACATGCGTATTTGAGTATTATTTTTATAGCTATATTTTAGATCACTATTTGTTTCGCAAATATATCAGTAGTCAATATTGAATAAACATTTTTCCCGAAAGTATCCTAAATAGCTTGAAGTAAGCTAGGTTAAGAATGAAGATGAATAGACCGAATTCCTGTTGTGGAGGGACCTAAGGGATGATTCATAATTATCAAACCCTCGGAAGTTAGTACAGGGGTGAATATTTCATTCAATTCTCGCTGCTCTATATTAAGCTTACGTTAGTATTTATATTTCAATATTAGAAAAACTGGTTATAAAATAATTTTACAATTTATTTTGAAAAGAAAGTATTGATATTTTCAGAAAATTAATTATAAAACTGCCTGTTAGGATAAAACTGGCCTTTTCCTCTTTTCTTTTAATGACACAATTATTCTATATTTAAATGTCTATGATTTGGCATATGACAAAAAAATCTTCAGGAGAAAAATTATAGGCTTGTCGATGTTGCAATGGACTATTCTTTTATCAAACGGCGATGAGTGCTATGCCCAGTAAAATTTTCTATATAATTGTATAAATGATTAATGTATTTCCAAAGTGAATCCTAACCATCACTGACATTTTTTTTTTTTTTCAGGGAATGCGAAAAAATACATAATTTCTATTCCAATTGTAGTAAACCAATATTAAAAAAAAAAGTTAATTAAGAAAAATTTTATTTTTATTTCTGAAAATCTCCGATTATTTTAATTGTTATTGAAAAAAAAAATGAAACTTAAATAGGTTCACTTTAGGCAGAAATTAAACTTCAGAGCCCATTTTTTAACAAAAAAAGTTGATTGAGGCTAGTTTTGGAGAGAGAAAAAAATGGCTTATGATTCTTTGGGGGAAAAAGTTATAAAAATTGTACTACAAAAAACTAACTTTTTGTTTACAGTAAAATTAATTCAATTTTAATTTTCACTTGAATAAAACAGTTAAAGAAGCTTATGATGATTTTTTTTTTTATACTTAAGAAAGTTCCTTTTCATTTTTTGAAAGAAATATAAAAGTATCAACCGGAACAAAAAAAAAAAAAAAAAAAGTACATATATTTATATATTTTCTTTCACATAAAAATCATAGGAACAAAAAAGAGAAAAAATTGCAATTTACTTAGATAAAAAAAAAGTTAAAATATATTGAAAAAAATAGTTATATTTTTCTTTTTCTTTAACGTGGTTAAAGTTATTGAATATTGATTGAAACTAAAGCAAATCAACTTTTTTCGTTTACTTTTTAATGTTATCTTATCGGTTTGTGGGTTAAAACAGTAGTTTTAAACTTTTTTTTTTTTTTTTTTTGCACTTACATTTATTTATCCGCACCTGTCAATTATTATTGACAATCAGCAGATGTGCTGGCTTAGTAATGAGAGAAAAATAAAATAAAATAAAAAATAAATAAATAAAAAAGGCTTGATAGGCATGAGGAATAGCAATACCCAGCGGTATCCCTTCCATGGCTGTTATTTACTAACATTATTTATGCAGATCCCTCATCCAGACCCTTTTCAGTCGTCTTCTGGAGTTCTCGGGCATACTAGTTGTGGCCATTTCTTTTACCAGCTGGTTGGAGTGCCCGTTTAACATGGTATGAAATCGTTTGTAGTACGTTCGTATGTGTTCATTGACTGTCGGAACGTGTAGGTCGGTGTGTAAAGTGTGATTGTTTACGTACCATGGTGCTTGAGTGATTAGTCGTAGTATCTTAGACTGAAAAGTTTGAAGTTTATTTATGTGAGTTGGTTTTGCAATTCCGTATATTTGTAGTCCGTAAGTCCAAAGAGGTTTTAAAAGATACGTGTAAATACTTAGTTTCTGTCTTGCTTTTAATTTGGAAGGTCGTCTTAACAGTGTATGTAACAATTTTAGTCTTAGATTTAATGTGATTCGTTTTTTCTTCACATGTGGACCCCATGTCATTCTCCTATCGAACGTAAGGCCTAGGTATTGTACTCTGTCTGTTTGTGGAATCGGTATGTTGTCTAAGTATACAGGAGGGCATGTTTCTGGTCTTAGAGTAAATGTGATGTGCTGTGACTTTTGATAATTTATTTTAGTTTTCCAAAGTTTACACCAATCGAGTATAATTTGTAAGTGATGTTGTAAGTTAAGTGATGCCTCTGTAGGATTGTCGTGCCTGGTAATGATAGCAGTGTCGTCTGCGTAGGTTG